CATAGCTTGGTTTTTGTCACCTTCATTTGCTCTCTCTAGAGCAGTGGTTCCCAACCTTACTTATGCCGAGACCCTTTAATACAGTTCCTCGTGTTATAGTGACCTCCAACTGTAAAATTATTTTCATTGCTACTTCATAACTAATTTTGCTTCTGTTATGAATAGTAATGTAAATATCTGATATGCAAGATGTATTTTCTTTGTTATAAGGAGTCATAACCCACAGGTTGAGAACTGCTGCTCTAGAGCATCCTTCTAGGGTTTTTTCCTCATCATCTCTTTTATTTTTTTTTTTGAAACTGAGTTTCACTTTGTCACCTCAATAAAGTGCCACAGCATCATAGCTCACAGCAACCTCAAACACTTGGGTTCAAGCGATCTTGCCTCAGCCTCCCAAGTAGCCAAGACTACACAGGCACCCTCCACAACACCCGGGTATTTTTAGAGACCAGGTCATGCTCTTGCTCAGGCTGGTCTCAAACTCCTGAACTCAAGCAATCCACCTGCCTCGGCCTCCCAGAGTGCTAGGATTTTTCTCACATCTGAAGCCAGCACACTCACCCTTCCCATAAAGTGCCTACCTCAGGATTCATCCTCCTCCAGAAATTCTCGGATACAGATGTACACAAAGATAGAAGCTGGGTGGAGGCTGGTGCCATCCTTGGAGAGCAAATGTATGTGGCGGTAACCTGGCAAAGGGCAGGAGGATAGCATCAGAAAAGTAACCAGAGCTGGGGTGTTGGCCAGGGGTCAAAAGACTGGCTCACCTTGTTGCATGCATGTCCATGGCAGGGTGTATTGACCAATAAAGTCATTTCGGGATGCCCAGTCATAATCCTTTACCACAAAGCGCACTATGGCAAGTTCAGGCACCAGGACCCGGAAGCATAATGTCTGCCCCCAGTATGGATTAAAACCTGTGGTTGGCAGTAAGAGGAAATGAAGCAACAAACATTAACTGTCTTTAAAGCCAGGTGTAGGGGTGGTGCCTGTGGCTCAGTGGGTATGGCACCAGCCCCATATATCAAGGGTGGCGGGTTCAAACCGGCCCTGGCCAAACTGCAACAAGAAAATAGCTAGGGCTCGGCGCCTGTGGCTCAAGTTGCTAAGGCGCCAGCCACGTACACCCAAGGTGGTGGGTTCGAATCCAGCCCGGGCCCGCCAAACAACAATGACAGCTGCAACCAAAATATAGCCGGGCGTTGTGGCTGGTGCCTGTGGTCCCAGCTACTTGGG